TTTTGAGACAGAGTCTCACTCTGTCACCCAGGCTGGAGTGCAATGGCAGGATCCCAGCTCACTGCAACCTCTGCCTCCCGGGTTCAAATGATTCTCCTGCCTCAGCCTCCCGAGTGGCTGGGATTACAGGTGCACGCTGCCATGCTTGGCTAATTTTTTTTTTCTTTTTTCTTTTTTTTTGAGATGGAGTCTCGCTTGTCGCCTAGGCTGGAGTGCCCGGCTAATTTTTGTACTTTTAGTAGAGATAGGTTTTCACCATGTTGGCCAGGCTGATCTCGAACTCCTGACCTCAGGTGATCCTCCCACCTTGGCCTCCCACAGTGTTGGGATTACAGAGATGAGCCACCACCTGGCTCCCTCTATGTTGTTTTAAGCCACTAAGTTTATGGTGGATGCAGGTGGAAACAGAGTGCTTCTGATTTTCCTCTGAGCTTCTTGCCTCTCTTCAAAGCCTGCCTGGCCCTCGGTGGCTGCCCGGTGCATCATAGTACATCCCACAGTGGCTCCCCAGATGGATCCTGACTCAGCAGCAGGCACGGCAGGGCAGGTGAAAGGATGTGGGGGAAACCTCACTGTTGCTCTTCACCACGTCCGTCCGCCTGCCCCAGTTCTCAGCAAGGAGTCAGCCCTGAAGGGCGTCTTCCTCAGCCACAACTCCTCAGTGGGCCAGCAAGGTGGCTTGAAGGGCCTCTGCCACCTTCAAGACTGGGGAACAGGGGAGGTGAACCTGGCCCCACCCGGCCCTGCTTGGTGTATCTTACTGATAATTCACTTTTATGTTGTTTCTTTTATTTGTCAGGCCATTTTCCATTGTATGAGTGTATTATACCTTGTGTATCTCCTTGATGACGTTTCCAATTCCTTCCTCCTGGGTTACTCATAGAGCTTCTGTAGAGTCTCTGCCTGGAAGAGGAATGCTCACAGATGTGCTCACCTTCACCCTGACCTTGACCTGACCTTCGAGCTGCCATTTTGTGTCCCTTCCAAGTGACTTTACCAATCTTCTCCAGAGCTGGTGGGTTTTTGTTTGTTTGTTTGGGATGAAGTCTCACTCTTTTGCCCAGCCTGGAGTGCAATAATGCGATTTCAGCTCACTGCAACCTCTGCCTCTCTGGTTCAAGCGATTCTCCTGCCTCAGCCTCCCGAGTAGCTGGGACTACAGGCACGTGCCACTACCCCAGCCTAGTTTTTGTACTTTTTTTTTTTTTTGAATCGAGGATTTAATACAATGCACACTAGGTCAGGTGGGAGGATCATGAACACCTTGGTTTCACAACTCCAACTCCTTCAAAGACGTCATACTTCAGTTAGCTGGCTGATCAGTGTGCTGATAACTTTCTTCCTACCTCCTGAACAACGTCTAACAGAAAGACTGTTGACACACACATATACATTATACATTGCAAACACAATTCAGATCCCTGTCCATATTTGCCTAATTCCAGCTCTATAATGGCAACAGGCGTGTGTATTTGAGCTGAATGCCTTGACTGAGACTTGCCATCAACTCTCCAGCTCAGGCCCCGAAGCCCGCTATTCCAGCGGCTCTGGTTCATGAGGCTCTCACGGATTTTTGTCTTGTGGCTCTTCCAGAATTTGGAAATGACAGCAGCTTGGTCAGATGTGATCCCACCTTGCTTTTTGGTTTGAGCAGTCAAGAATGCTTCCAGCTGGTTGAAATCCATGTCTGCAGACGCAATAGACTTAAGAATCCCCCTCATCTTTGCCAAAAAGGGGCGGAACTCCTCGGGTGGCACCTCTGGATACAGCTGGCTCCATAGCAGCTCCTCTGTAATGCCGGGGTGCCCGTGGAAAGTGTCCTGGGCTAGCGCATTCAGCAGCCCGTTCAGGGGCTTGCCGCCCTCAAGCTCGCCCGCCGCCATGCTCTCGTTTTTTGTATTTTTAATAGAGACAGGGTTTCACCGTGTTAGCCAGGATGGTCTCAATCTCCTGACCTTGTGATCCGCCCACCTCGGCTTCCCAAATGCTGGGATTACAGGCATGAGCCACTGCGCCCAGTCCAGAGCTGGTGTTTTTAAGGAGTCTCATTTGGGTCTACATTTAAAAATATCAGCTTTATTTTTTCTTCCATTTTAAATTGTCTGATGGGTGAGACATAATATTTCCTTGTTGTTTTAATTTACCTTTCTCAGCCGGGCGCAGCGGCTCATACCTGTAATCCCAGCACTTTGGGAGACTGAGGTGGGTGGATCACTTGAGGTCAGGAGTTCGAGACCAGCCTGGCCAACATGGCGAAACCTCATCTCTACTAAAAATACAAAAATTAGTCAGGTGTGTTGGTGCACACCTGTAATCCCAGCTACTCGGGAGGCTGAGGCAGGAGAATTGCTTAAACCCAGGAGGTGGAGGTTGCAGTGAGCTGAGATTGCACTACTTCACTCCAGCCTGGGCAACAGGGAGAGACCGTCTCAAAAAAAAATTTACACTTCTCTGATACCATTGAGACAGAGCCTTTTTTGTTTGTTTGTTTTTGAGACAGGATCTCACTCTGTTGCCCAGGCTGGAATGCAGTGGCATGATCATAGGTCACTGCAGCCTCCATCTGCTGGATTCAAGCCATCCTCCTGCTTTAGCCTCCAGAGTAGCTGGGACTACAGGCATGCACCATCATGCCTGGCTAATTATTTGTTTTCTGTAGAGACGAGGTCTCACTTTGCTGCCCAGGCTGTTCTCCAACTCCTGGACTCAAGTAATCCTGCCACCTTGGCCTCCCAAATTGCTGGGATTATTGACATGAACCACCATGCCCAGCCCAGAGTCTCTTTTTCATATGATTATTGGCCATGTAGGCTTTTTTTTCTTGTAAGGTGTTTGTTCATAACCTGTGCCGAATTTTCTGTTGGGTTGGTTGTCTCTCTTCTTGATTTGCAGAAGTCCTTTACATATCCTGGATACGAATCTGCTGATTATATTGCAGCTATTTCCTCCATATTGTGAAATATCTTTTATTTATTTATTTATTTTTGAGACAGGGTTTTGCTCTGTCACTCAGGCTGGAGTGCAGTGGCCCAGTCTCAGCTCACTGCAACCTCTGCCTCCCAGGTTCCAGTGATTCTCCCACCTCAGCCTCCCAACTAACTGGGACTACAGGCATGCACCACCACACCTGGCTATTTTTTATATTTTTTGTGGAGACAGAGTTTTTCCGTGTTGCCCAGGCTGGTCTCAAACTCCCAAGTTCAAGCAGTCTGCCTGCCTCAGCCTCCCAAAATGCTGAGATTACAGGTACGAGTCACGGTGCTCAGCTGTGCATATCTTTTAATCTTGTGGCATTTTTTTGCTGAATTTAAGATTTAAATGTCAATATCATCAGACTCATCAATTTTTTTCCGTTGTAGCTGATACCTTTTGTGCCTAAGATATTCTTTCCTGTCAAAAGGCACGAGGAGCTGGGTGCAGTGGCTCACACCTGTAATCCCAGCACTTTGGGAGGCTGAAGAAGGTGGATTACTTAATGTCAGGAGTTCGAGACCAGCCTGGCCAACATGGTGAAACCCCGTCTCTACTAAAAATACGAAAATTTTCTGAGCGTGGTAGCACACACCTGTAATCCCAGCTACTTGGGAGGCTGAGACAGGAGAATCACTTGAATCCAGGAGGTAGAGGTTGCAATGAGCTGAGATCACGCCATTGCATTGCACTCCAGCCTGGGCAACAGAGTGAGACTCCATCTCAGAAAAAAGAAAAGAGAAAACAAAGGCCAGGTGCAGTGGCTTACGCCTGTAATCCCAACACTTTGGGAGGCCGAGGTGGGCAGATCACCTGGCTTCAGGAGTTTGAGACCAGCCTGACCAACATGGAGAAACCCCGTCTCTACTAAAGAAAAAAAAAAATTAGCCGGGCATGGTGGTGGATGCCTGTAATCCCAGCTACTCTAGGGAGGCTGAGGCAGGAGAATCGCTTGAACCCAGGAGGGGGAGGGTGTGGTGAGCTGAGATTGAGCCATTGCACTCCAGCCTGGGCAACAAGAGTGAAACTCCGTCTCAGAAAAAAAGAAAAAAAAAAAGAGGCTGGATGTGGTAGCTCACGCCTGTAATCCCAGAACTTTGGGAGGCTGAGGCGGGTGGATCATGAGGTCAGGAGATCGACACCATTCCAGCCAGCTGGTGAAACCCCGTCTCTACTAAAAATACAAAAAGAATTAGCCGGGCAGGGTGGTGTGTGCCTATAGTCCCAGCTACTCAGGAGGCTGAAGCAAGAGAATTGCTTGAACCCAGGAGGCAAAGGTTTCAGTGAGCTGAGATCATACTACTGCACTCCAGCCTGGGTGACAGAGCAAGACTCCGTCTCAAAAAAGAAAAAAAATGGCATGTAGGGGCTTTGGAAGGTTGGTCTGGATGCTGGGTACATAGCTGGGGTCACTGTGATATTTCATCAAGCGGCACCCTTATGACTTGTACACTATGCATGTTGTAGTCAAACAAAAAGTTTACTTAAAAAAGAAATTGTTCCTTACCCTGAGGTCACAAAAATATTCTTCTACATTTTCTTCTAAATGTGTTAAAATTTTGTTATTCACATGTAAGCCCTGAATCCACCTGGAGTTTCGTGTGTGGTGTTAGGTGGGGATCTAATTTTACTTTTTCCATATGGATCACCACTTGTCCCAACGCCATTTATAAAAGAGTCTGGCTTTTCCCCACTGGTTGGTGACGCCTCTCTGTCATACGGCAAATTCTCATTTATGCGAGGTTCTGTCTCCGGGGCTCCTGTTCTGTGCTTTTTTTCCCCTTTATTTTTTGTTTTTAAATGGGCTCTCACTCTGTCACCCAGGCCAGAGTGCAGTGGCATGATCTCAGCTCAATGCGGCCTCAACCTCCCAGGCTCAAGTGATCCTCCCACCTCAGTCTCCCAAGTAGCTAGGACTACAGGCATGTGCCACCACACCCAGCTAATTTTGTTTTTGTAAAGACAGGGTCTCTCTATGTTGCCCAGGCTGGTCTCAAACTCCTGGGCTCAAGGGACCCTCCTACCTTGGCCTCCCAAAGTTCTGGGTTTACAGGCGTGAGCCGCTGCATCCGGCCCTTCTTTATTTATAGCCAGATGCCAAAGCCATTCTGTCTTAATTTCTTTAAAAAATTTTAATATCTGATAAGACCCTTTTGAGGACTTTAAGATGAGAAATGGTCAGAATGATGCTGGGATGAGGTCACTTTGATGAGAGGAGAGTGGGTTTTTAGAGACCAAGGCCAAAGGGTCAGGAGTCCAGCTGTTGGTAGTTACGGTGACCAGGCAAAAGGTGAGCAGCCTGGCCTGGGAGGTAGCTGGGAAGTGTGCTGAGCACACTGCTGTTGACGTGCCGAGGTAAAGCAGATGGGACTCACTGAAAGGTTGGATGTGGGAGTGAAGCAAAAATTGGGATCCAAGATGACTCTGTGGTTTTGGCCAAAGTAACTAGAGGATAGTGGAGCCACTGGCTGAGATGGGAAAGCCTGGGGTGACGCTGACAGGTGGGCACTTAGAAAGTGCTCAATTTGGCCGGGTGCGGTGGCTCACGCCTGTAATCCCAGCACTTCGGGAGGCCAAGGTGGGCAGATCATGAGGTTAGGAGATCGAGACCATCTTGGCTAACGTGGTGAAACCCCATCTCTACCAAAATACAAAGAATTAGTCAGGCGTGGTGGCGTGTGCCTGTAATCCCAGCTACTTGGGAGGCTGAGGCATGAGAATTGCTTGAACCCAGGAGGCGGAGGTTGCAGTGAGCTGAGATTGTGCCACTACACTCCAGCCTGGTGACAGGGCAAGGACTCCATCTCAAAAAAAAAAAAAAAGAAAGAAAAAGAAGTGCTCAATTGTCAGGCGGCGGTGCCCACACCTGTAAACCCAACACTTTGGGAGGCTGGAGCGAATGGATACCTGAGGTCAGAGTTCTAGGACAGCCTGGGCAACATGGTGAAACCTTGCCGCCACTAAAAATACAAAAATTAGCGGGCATGGTTGGCGGAGGCCTGTAATCCAGCTACTCGGGAGGCTGAGCAGGGAGGAATCACTTGAACCCAGGAGGCCAGAGGTTACAGTGATCCGGAGTCATGCCACTGCACTCCCAGCCTGGAAACAGAGTGAGACACCGTCTCAAAAAAAAAAAGAAAGAAGTACTCAAATTCACCAGGCATGG